ATTTTTAGGTGGTTTCAAGCAGGGAATATTAAAGATTTTAAGTCAAATTTGAAAGCAGACTTGGGACTTTATTTATATTAATCAGAGATCATAACCAAACTGAAAAATATTTAAAAAAGATATGTAAAAAAGAATAAACTGTTTTTAAGTATATTTCAAAAATAAATTTTTGCTATTTTTAAAACTATATATAGACATCATTAATATATTTGTATTTTAAATCTATAAATTTCATCTCCGTATTTACATATCAAAATGGTCTGTTTTCTATTGTGTTGTTTATTTAAATAGTTCATTTCAATCACTTTACAATCAGATACGAAAGGTATTATAACCATCTAGACCAATAGATGCAATCATTGAGTGATATTGATATAAGCAATATTGGATTGAACTACTAATTATTCTTTTATTTAGAGATCCCTGTCAGAATCATAATCGAATAATTCTACAATGTATTTAGATTAATTTAAAGCATAGAACTTTACATTTATTTCACAACTGGATTGATTATATTAAGGTTCTTGTAATTATTTTTATGTATTAAATTAACACCTTAGAAATGAGATAAATCATATCATCATCTCTCAGGATGTATTTTAATCAAAAAGATCATTTAGTATTATTATTGGTAATTTCTCAATGAATCGACAAATATATAATATAATTATCAAATAATACTTAGCAGATTTAATATCAAATGGATTACAATATGAAATTTGTAGAATTATTGAAGAAACATGAGAATCATCAGATGATACTTAAGGTGACATTGGATGTGATGCTTTAAGAGAAAAATTACAAAAGTCAACTTGTCAAATATAGAGATGAATTGAGAAGAGAAGATAAAATTATTAGTAACCAAATGCACCAAAGCGTTAAAAGAATTGGCTATGAGATCATAGCAAGATTAAGTTAAAGCATTAGAGAAAATTAGCAAAATCGACCAATAGATTATGCTTTATCTAAAGGATTAAGTATTACCTATCATTCACTTTGATAGAAAGTTAAACAATTACACTTTCATAAAGTACTACACTGATCCAGGTATGATATTCATGTGTTAATAAAGAAAACTCAATCAATCCATAAGAAACCATCATTGAGACACAATACAAAGAAAATACAAATCTGGAATCTTTCGAGGCTGATTTCTCCAAGTTGGAGTGGAAGTTGGAAATTACTTTATCCAGCATCAAGATGAGAAAAGTAATCATTAATTTTGAGTCATGATTAGGTAATTCGACCATTGATTCTTCTTAATATTCCATACAAAAAAAGGAGTCAAGAAAACCATGTACTTAGATTACAATCAATTCTAAGAGTTCAGAAAGAATGTTGCCTTATGCTTAAGACAAATCCATATTATTGAGAGTATTTAAAGTAATTTTTGAATTGATTATTTTAATTATAATTAATGTTTCTGGAGGTAAAATTTCCTTGCGGAAGGTATGATTTCAATCAAGATACCAAGAAAGTAGTTATTGTGAAAGCAAAAGGATTGCTCAATTTGTATTTGAATGAAGAGAATGAATTGTGGTTGAAGTGGTATAATGTGGATCTAGATAATAAATTAGAAATTGTATTGAAATAATTTAAAGTAAATTAGGAAAGAGTCTTGATTAAAGGCTGCACTTTTTTCGAAAAAGTTAAAGGCTAGAACAGAGTGTACCTCCTTAGATTTACAGACGATGACTATAAATACTTCTTTTGGATGCAAGTAATCATGAGCATATACTTAGTCTGACGATCCAAGTTTGGATGAAAATTATTGTAAGCAATTTAACAATGTTATCAATGCTTAAGTGTTGGATGATCCTATGGAAATTGAACAACAGCCTCCAGTTTAAACTATAACATAATAATAATCTCATCCATAACCTCCACAATAAATGGACCTATAATAATAATAACTTTTGCAATTACTTCAATAGTAACTAACATCCAGAATTGGTCCAGGACTATCATTAACTGATCTTCTTACAACTGAATTTTTGACTCAAATTGCCAAGGACCAAGAATACTTTGAGGCTTTAAAAGAGTAAGAAATATTGTTTATTCGAGACACTTACCTCCCTGATTAATAGAACTTAGAATAATTTAGAGAAAATCTACTGAGTCCTCAATTTAAATAGGCATTGGATCAATTGACTCATGCTTTAAAGGGAAGGGAGAGGAGTTCTGTCATTTAGCAGTTAGACTTGGATTACAGAATATTGGAGTAGGAATTCGATGGAGTTATAGCTTTTGTGAAGGCAATTATAAGAAAGGCTTAAAATAAAAATTGATATTATACAAACTTT